GAATAACAACCCTAACATTCTCATCCACCACCCTAACACACACACACACTACCCGAGCAATGGACAGCGCCCTTCGACACTAGACATTGCATTGTCGAAGGGGCTAACCAGCATAGACATTAAAGCCAAAAACATCCTGGGCTCTGACCACCTCCCGGTGTTCCTGTACTGGAGAAACCACCCCCCAGTGCAGGAACATCGGAAGGTATACTCATACAAAAACTTCGATTGGCAGCAATACAAACAGAGACTTAACAACATCACCACAATACCAACTGCCATAAACGACATTCCAGAACTGGAAAGGCAAGTTGGTAATATAACAAAAAACATTCAAGACATTCGAGACCAATTAGCTACAAAAATCACAATCAAACCAAGGACTGACGCAATACCAGAATCTATTGTAGCACTTATCAAACAGAGAAACAGGGTGAAAAGAGCATGGCAAAGGCGCCCCAACGAAATTGACAGACAAATACTCAAGGACGTAAACAAAGAAATAGAGAGGGACATACGGAATCACAGGAACCAGTCCTGGATGAAGTATGTTTCCTCTCTAGAACGCCAAGACAACTCCTTGTGGAAGCTAGCAAAGAACCTTAGGCGACCAGGAACACAGAAGACTGACCTGATCGTCAATGGTGCTAGCTACTACAAGGAAACCGACAAAGCAGAAATTTTTGCCGACTACTTTGGAACTGTTTTTAGCGAAACGCCAAACACAACAAACTCACACAATTACATAACGAACACGACGGTCGCCTTTGCTAGGCAAAAATACCCAATACCACCATCGGTGCTGCAAGCGATTCTGGTTACATCACAAGAACTAAAAACAAAAATCAAAAAATTACCTAATAGAAAGAGCCCAGGACCCGACACTATTGGAAACAATTTAATAAAACACTTACCGAGGAAGACTATTATGCAGCTTGTACACATAATAAACGCAGTAATAACTCTACAGCACTTCCCACTAGCGTGGAAACAAGCTGACATAATAGTTTTCCCAAAACCAGGAAAAGACCTTACTCTACCACAATCTTACAGACCCATATCTCTACTAAACTCACTGGGGAAAGTTGCTGAACGAATACTTCTGGATCGGATTTCCTGGACAATCGACACCCTTAACTGCCTCCCCCCGGAGCAGTTTGGGTTCCGACAAAAACATAACACGACCCTAGCAGTAGCGAAGGTGGCTCAAGATGCCTCAATCTCCTTCAATAACCATGAAAGCACCTTCCTGCTGCTACTGGACATCGAGAAGGCCTTCGATAAGGTATGGCACAATGGCCTAATTTACAAACTATTGATCAAACACAATTTTCCACTTCATTTAACATCGCTCATTGTGTCATATCTTAGCAACAGGACCTTCCAAATCAAAACAGAACATGCACATTCACAAACCAAGACAATTAGAGCGGGAGTACCTCAGGGCACGGTATTATCCCCAACTCTATTCAACTTATACATAGCAGACATACCAAAAACTTACAACACTGACATAATGATGTAGGTACGCAGATGACACGGCTGTCTACACCAGTGCCTTTTTCGCAGAAGACGCGAGAAGGGCTCTGGTGGACCATCTCAGCCTAATCATCCCCTACCTACGAGACTGGAAAATCACACTAAACTCCTCAAAAACTGAACTACTGACATTAACCAGAAAACGGACAAACAATACAATTGAACCACCTTTAACAATAAACAACGTAGAAATACAAAACAAAACAGCAGTGAAATACCTGGGGGTGGTCCTAGACAAGGGACTCTATGGCCACCCTCAGGTGGCAAACACCTTACGAAAGGCGTACGGGGCTGAAAGACTTCTGGCACCGATCATGAAACCAAATTCATACCTCAGCCCCAGAAACCGCATACACATCTACAAAACCATCATACGGCCAACCCTACTCTACGGAGCCCCCGCATGGAACTTTATCAGCAACTCCCAAAAACTCATACTGCAACGTTACCAAAACCGGATACTCAAGACAGCACTCTCACTCCCCATGGACACCCGAACAGTTGAAGTACATAAACTCGCAGAAATCGACACAATTTTGGAGTATTTCAACGAGGTGTCGATGAAATTCTTCGCGAAAACCATCCACGGACCTGCACTAACCAGAGACCTGGCCACCCTCAGACACGACCCCCAAAACCCAGTAACGCATCGGCCCATACACCACCGACTGCCAATCTACTACCAGACACACGTACCAGGATAGCAGAAAATGTGAATGCGAGAAACAATCTAACACAAACGGTAAAATAGCGCAAGGATGTGCGAAAACTAACTCCGCACATTCTTGAGCAACCGACCCACTGCACTCAGCATTTACTCAGCAAACAAATTAAATTGGGCAAACCGCTCAACCTTGAATGCCTTCTGCTGTCCTGATACAAGCGCTACGCGACAGACGATACTTAACACGTAAACGAGAAGAAGGGTTTTTAGAACTGGTTTTCCCTTCAACGAATCGCGGTAGATACGGAATGATATACAGGACTATAATATGACACCACCGCTTTTAAGTTGGGACCGGAATTAGCCTATAAGGGGCCCTAATAATAGCCCCAGTAAAGCGCTATAAAGAAACTGGTTGCCACTACCACCCCCTACTTATAAATAGATCTGGCCATAAAACCGGCCGACGCTCATCGAGCGTCATTTAATTAGTCTATTTAAGTAATAGGTAGGATAAGGTAGTTTTAAGATGATGTTGTAAATACTGTAAATAAATAAATAAATGCTAAAAAAAAAAAAAATGGGCCGTTCAAATTTCAAATACCGTAACGCTGACAACGCTTGACAAGTATGACAGTTGTTACGGTATAAGCGTTAGCGGAGCCCGCTATTTAACGGAACTTACCGGATGCCTTACTGTAACGCTATGCTCTGTCAAAACTAGTTTACGCTCCATTTATGTCTGCAAAAACAGCAACTTCTAATAATTCCTCCATAAAAAACACCAAGGGAAAATTATTCAAGCTCAGGAATGTTCAGAATAAATAAAAGTTAGAAAACAAGCAAAAAAAGTGGGGTTAGATTACTCAACTCAGCTGTCAAAATGTAAACAGAATAAGGGATTAGAGGATTTATGTGTCTTCGTGCTCGAGAACTATAAAATACCATGTAAAATACCGTATTGTTAGCGGTAGGTACCGTATTAGCGTAGCATCTGACGCACGAGAACTTTCTAATTTGTGGAAACGGCCATTAGGGCCGGTTTATTCACCTTCTGATAAACTGTCAGGTATGCAATCTGACCGACCGATAAAAATGCAATCTCTAATTCCATTGGTTGTTTATCTGAATATAAATAAACCGGGCCTAATAAATATAAAAATCGAACAAACAAAATACAAAATTTTTGTGTGTTTGCATACTTTTGCATTAGCAAATTTATTTATGATCTCCTATATGACAATATCTGAGCTATAACATTTTCAATGGACAGCAGGGCTAGATCTGAAGGATTCTCTTCTGCTAGAGTTGACCGCTAAGGTAAGTTTTAATTAACTTAGGGTGGGTATTATAAAACTGCTTTGACAGTTAACTTCTGGAATTACATGTAATTCAAAAAGTTAACTCCAAGTTAACTTTCAAAGCAGTTTTATAATACCCGCCCTTAAGCTTACTAAAGCTCCGTTCACCTTTCGGCACTGTAACAGGAATGGTAACAAAAATACGGAGAGCTGTCCAGATATAAGGAAACGTATCTTGCCAATTATTAAATGCTAACGCCTGAAGGACTGCTTTCGGGTGACTGTTATCACTATCCAAAATATCGTGATCAAATGATCGGGTAAGGGCGCCACCACACCCACGATCCGTGCGCGTCTCAAAAAAAACGTCAGGACAGGTTATTCTCATACTAAGTAAGCACAAGCTTGCTCACAAGCAGAGAAGCATGATATCGAAAAGCAGAGACAGAATTCAAAGCGAAAATATACTTTTCCCTTTTTTTGTATTACCAAGGAACGAGTCGAAGGCGCCCCCCGAGGTCTGGCGCCTGGAGCGCTCGCTCAGTTCGCCTTATGGTAGGGCCGGCCCTGGGTGCAAGTGGGCATTAATAGGAATCAAATTATTATAAACAGAATTCATTTAGTAGTTATGAAAGCGCTTATTATTGAAATTGGTGGTTGCTAAGGTATAACTAGTTGTTTCTTTGTATTTGTAGCAGATTTTTATACTGGCAGAGTGACTTAAAAGACCGAGAGTGAGTTAAAAATATTTTAAGTCACTCAGGTGTCTACTTAACTTTGTTATTATGCGTTCAATAATGTCATTTTTAAACGTCAAAATGGGATAAAAATAATAATATTTTGACTAAGCCGTCTGGTGGAACAAAAAATAAGTTAATTCTTGATTTGCTTTTGAAAAATTGTAATTACGAGAGTAATTAAGTAGGTCTAGGTCTAAGTAGATAATAATTTATGATTTATTTTCGTTTATATGAACTTCCTATAAGAATATATGTTTTATTTTTTTTATATGAATTTCCTTGGATGATAATGTATGATTTATTTTCGTTTATACAAAAGGCCCATAAAAAGATGTTTTATTTTCCTTTATATGAAGGTCCTATCAAAAAAATTGGTACTTTTGTTGATTTTCAATATTTGTTTTAGCGTTAATAAAAAACAACATATTTTCGAATTGTTTTTTTCGTATTATGCATTTAAACCCAATACCCCATCGTCCCTATCAAAACTGCAGAGTATCTTCAAAACTAATAAATGTTAGATGGCGCAATATTAGTTATTACGCTACGTTTAAGGTCAGCCAGCTACATTTGGCAACAGTGTCTCGAGTTCTCCGCCCACTGCAACGATCCTCATTTATTCCTACGACTAGACTCTTGTCAGTTTTCAGTGGAACACCCGGTATATTGCAATATATACGCATTTTAGTCGAGAGCAGTTCGAATCACTAGTCCTGAAACATCTGTATTCTCCTAATCCCAATTTTTCCCTTGGCTTCAATCTGTGGGTAAGCCAATTACTAAGTGAACAACCGAATTCATCCAGTACGATAGGGCTATTTTTGTAATAAAGGGTAAAATAATTGCCTGCAAAGAAAAAAGGTTTTTACATCTATAGGACTATAAGATTAAAGCGAAAATTATCAATAGGTACACAAAATAACATTAACACTAATATGTAGAAACACAGAAAGAGTATCCAGACAAAGCAAATACCGCGGTAGAGTGGTTTCAGTAAATATGTAGGTAGAAATATTTTGGTCAGAAATAATAGGTGCACTGGAACTGCAACATACCTATTCTCGAAAAAATTGGTTTTATTTTCTTAGGAAATTACCTACTTACCGTTATTATATGCAAAAGTGCAGCAGCAACGTTAACTGAATCCAATATATATTCAATCAATATTACATTTTTTATTCCATCATTTAATTTTGTTAAAAACCTAAAAAATAATAATGACAAATGCATAATGCTGAGAAATACAATTCATTAATAATCTTACTCAATAATATGTTGATGTTTTCTTATAAGCTCTTTAACCTTTAAAGCAACAGATGCGTCGTCAGTTTCATGAGACGAAAACACTTTTCTAATACGAATTTGCAAAATTCGAAGCTCGACACTTACGTATATCATTAAAGTGTAAGGAACCGATGCAACTGCAACATTATTGAAAAATCCAATCGAAACCATACAAACATCCAATACCGAGATTAAGGTATCGTAATTGTTTTTATCATATGGAAACCAAATTTCGTACATAAACACTTCACCCTCCTTGAAAGAGTTGTTGATTTTTTTGTAAATATTGGATACAATAAAAACGGCTACTGTGAAAAAAGTGCACATAATTTGGGTGCTAATGGTCCACTTAAAATATGCCACTTGGCCAAGATATGTTTCAACAATATCCTCATCGTCCGATTTCAAATGTATCTTTTCTTCTTCCATAACTTCTGCGAATGAATACGGAATACCATTTTTTAGGTAAATGAAAATTTTATAAAACATCATTGTTATGATAATCGCCAACGTTAGTGATCCAAATAGGCTATCGGATTTTGCGTGGCTTTTAATAAGCTCAACAAAACCAATTAACAAAGAAAGACTGAAGGTGCCAAAAATCGAATGCAAAGCTATTGAATAAATGTTATATGCTTTACTTAACATAGGGTTATCGTTGAATGATAGTTTCCATAATCCGGTGATTATCATGAAAAACTTGGAGATTTTAAAAATGCTCGCCATTGTTGAATGCTTGTTTTTTATTAAACTGCTAGTGACACAAATTGCTAAAAGTGAATTACACAAAGAAAAATAGCTTGTGTATAGAGACTATTAAGAAGGTAACGAATTTAATGTATTCCTTTTACATCCACTTATTAAAAATGGTACCTTATTATGTTAATTAGTGGCTCTTTGATGTGGAATAATTTAATTATTACGTAGAAAAAGGTAATTTATTGCCGGATAAAGAAAAGTTGAAAAGTTCCCTGGTAAAACGTCTTATCAAACAGTAAATAAGAGAAAAATCTTGGGAATAAACTAGCTGTCTGCAACTTTCAAAGTAGGCACAGTTCGTTTCACCAGGGTTTGTACTTTTGAGATTGGTTATGTCAAAACTTGGAAAAAAGGGTTTGTCGTAGATTAGTTCATGCGTTTCAATTTTGTATTAAAGCGTTGATTACGCTGCGTGTTGGCAAAGAAAGTGCTCCTGTTGTATTATATTTATATACCTCAGTGTTAGGCCAAGTTTTTCAGGTAGCGAAATAGGATGTCGCACACGATTAAATGGTTCCTTACTTAAATCTTATCTCAAAAGATCGAGGAGAAATGAGAATTGCTGTCTTGCAACGTAACTCTAAAATATGCTTTAAATTTCACTTCGTCGTCGAGCAGATGTATATGGATAAGTATTTTAAATCGCTTCTTCTTTTTTGAAATAATTGACTAGTGCAGAATTTCGAGTCCTATCATGAATCGTGGCTATTATGTATAAATCTCCTCTTGCAAAATTTCATCTTGTAATAATAATAAAGCCAAAGCTAATTTCTTTTTTGATATACTCATCGGGACGATCCGGACGCAACTGACAATCCTAGGAAAACACTTTTACGCAGCGCATTGGATGTTGCGTTGCGTCGGCCGTATTACATTCTACGCCGCGTAAAATGTGCGTTGCTAGGAAAACGCTGCTTTACTTCTGATTCAAGCAAAGGAAGCCACGTATTACTAAATGATGTTGAGCATGAAGCAACACATTCGTCTTTATTTAATAAAATTAATGCGCTCTCTTTGATTTTACGTGTTTTTGAAACAGCTTCCTTTGCCAGAATACTAGAAGCATTCCAGTTGGTGACTATGCTTTCGACTATAGTGTTGTTTATTCTAGTTTTGTTGATATTTTGGTTTTACAGTACTTCATATTTAGTAGGGATATTGCGATATTGCCTTGCGTCCTTGTATTATCTTGTATATTCCGATCTTTAATTGCTTCGTCTAGGATTTCCTCATTCCCAAATACTTCTTCCTTTGGTACTAAATATATCGACGAAAATTCTGCAGGGAGAAAAAATTACACTTTAGTCTCTGTTATCAGGGAGTGAAGTGTAATTTTAGACCCGAAAGTGCGAAAAAGTGGTTTCATACATCTTGCTTAAGCAAAAATGCATCAACTATTCCCAGTTTTACGATACTGCTTAAAAATGCACACAGTAATTTGATATGTGTTTTTGATAAACTCAGTAAGGAACTTCATAACGATCGATTTTGCTGAACTTATACACCGTGATTTACGTAGCCCGTGCATTAGTAGTGGTCCAGTTTGGTAGATTAGTAATGAATAGCGTCTATTCCACCTGCCAGCTAATACACGGGCTACCTAAATCACCGTGTATAGCAATAAATAATACACAAATATGGGAGAACAAAGATAATAAACGGCATTTATTGGGCTGCTGAGCTTACATATATATATTTTTTTCTGGTAGAGACTTTTTAACTATATTCCATAAATCTATTTTCATGGGTGTATTCGGATATTCGATATTTCTATCTTGTAGCCATCTTAAAAGGAGTTGTTTAGACCAACTTGAGTTTGGAATCTTCTCCAATAGCCTGGAATGGTAGGGTGCGTTATCCATTACTATGAGGAAAGGCTCTTCTAAATTTGGGAGTAATTGTTTCTGGAACCATTTTTCGAAATTTTCAGCATTCATAGCGTCATGGTAATCACCGGACTTGAACCCAGATTTGCAAATCAGACTCGCATTTGCCACGAACCCTGTGTCTGATCCAGCATGTAAAATAATGCATCTGACGCCTTCTGAACTTTTCTTTTTAATAGTTTTATTTGAACTATCTTGCCAAGTATTTTCAAACGCTCCCTTGCTAATACAACAAAAATATATTTACATGCATTTTTAATTAAACCTTCCAAGAAACCTGTGTATCCACGTTTTATCCAAAAAACACGGGTTTAAAGCAAAACTATAGTTGCAATTATCTGTATATGCCTTCAAAAACCGAACTTTTTTCTCAACAATGTATGACTGTTCCATTAAATACTTCCTATTGGATATAGTATATCTTTCCGTTACTTAAACATTAATGCTCGTAAACCTCTACATAGGAAAGCATTTGAAATTTCCACATCGTCAAGATTTAGCAAATTTGTTTGGAGTAAAACTAATGCTCGTGAACGCTGTAAAAAGGGCGCCCACCAGATCTCTGAATTGTAGTTGTTGTGGATGCCTTATGATCCATATCAATCCTGATCCCATGCGCATTGATCTTTTTAACAGTGGTAATTCCAATTCCCAGGGCATCAGATACTCTCTATACAAGTCCAAGAAGTAAAGTCATACATATAAATACAGATACCAAATTAAAATAAAAAACTCACCTCTAAAACACACTTAAATGGTAACAGGGGGGTTTCTTGCCTCTCGCTTCTTTGTAAAGTAGGAAATAAGGCTTGTAATCATATTTTGCTCACCTCCTGAAAATCGTCGAGGCATTTTACACAATAATAGGTAAGTGGAATTAAAAGGCCCCCACATATTGCATTTTTGTTTGACGGTTTTGTTCGACGAGCAAAAACGACGGATCGCAGTTGCACACACACCTCGGTTTAGTTTGCCTAACATTAGTCATGTTGGAAAGTTTTTAATTTTAATTTTTAATTTTAATAATGTAAAATTACCTAGCTACCTACACACCACACAAAACCATCGTTTTTAAAATTCGTAGCCCACACACTTCAGATTTGATGACATATCGAACATATCCGACGGACAAAATCAAGCAAAGCCAGATATTTGCATCGGTTTTGTATGCCAGTAAAAACGACATGAATTTTTCGCACATACACTTCGGTTTTACGTCGTTTTTGCTCGACCAGATTTGCTCGTCGAACAAATACGTCCAACAAAAACGCAGTCTGTGGGGCCCTTAAAACGTGACGCGTCTTTTGACAAAATCGATTTTTTTGACAAATTTCAATATAAATAACTTTTGGTTTTAAGAACCGACGAACGTTTTTGAGGTCATTAATTTGTTTCAGTCAATTTTAATATGTTAAACAAGGAAGGCAAATGCTGGTGGCAAGTACTAAATATTATAATATGTCTATGCGTAGTTCAAATTAAATTAATATCGTGAAATATAGGCAACAAAAAGGATAATCGATCGAACTAATTAATTTTTTTATGAATCGAACCTACAAACAACTCTGGAAGATAAATTGGCTAATATATCAACTTGATGCTTTGAAATTAGTTTTCTGAGAGAATAGCTATTTACCTAACAAGTGCGGAAAATGAATTTTTCCGCACGAGTCTGCCGTTCTGTACACACCACAAAAAGTGGAGTATACAAGCTCAATTGCAATGATTGCAATTGCACTTACATTGGCAAAACTACCCGAGCCCTGAACACTAGAATCAAGAAATACATAAGCAGACCAAGCAAGTCAGTCTTCGGACATCACATACAATTCTCCAAACACAACTTTTCGCCAAGCTCTAACAGCAAAATAGTCCATGAAATGAGAAATGGTAACGCCCGCAGAATAGATTTCTTGGAGGACTTGGAAATTAAGAGAGAATCTGCAGGAAACCCAAACTGTCTGAATTTGAAGATGAATATCATTAATGACAAGAACCCTATTTTCAATCTCGTCACTTAGTACATTGAAATTCGGGGCTTCTGTACAGGCTTTTCTGGTTGGAACTCTGAGGTCGGTTGATCCCTGAACTGACGGTTTTCCGTAGTGAACCTGTCATTTTGGCGAATGCGCCGCCGCTGGGTTTTCTCCCGGTTTCGTCGTGCAGTGGGCTGTTTGTGCAGGACCGTTGGGGTGCTTCATCCCCATAGCTCGGATGGTCCAACCCCTAAGCTACACTCCTGTTCTTGTTTTTTGTTTCCCGACTATTTTCAGGTGAGAGCAGAGAGAGGGAGGTGAGATACTGAGAATAAATAAACTGGAAGTGTTTTTTGATAAATTTTGTTAATTGTCTCTCATAGAAAGCAGTTTTCGCTGTAATTTGTCACGTTTTCTGATCAGGTAGTCAACTTAGGTCACCCATAGATGGCGCCACAGTAACACACTTTAGTCTGCATCGTTGCCAGTTTGGTACCGCACTGGTTTCGTTATGTCATATTTACTATTTGTCAAAGTCAAACCATATGCTTATATCAACCTATATTGTTCTCATTGTTTTCATGACAGGGCACATTTTCCAAAATCTAAATTAAAATGAAAAGCAAAATCAATAAATATTAGGAAAACAACTGAGGAATCAGCCCTGAAAGATTTCTAGAAAAAGCCTGAATGTATTCTGGAGGTGGTAGTTGCTGAGCGCGCCTGGATGTTAGTTAGTTAGTTTGTCACCTTTACTTGTGTTGTGTGTCTTTTATTCTATTAACTTGGCTTTTTACACCAAAAACATGTTCTGTAACTCTGTTTCCACTATACGTACCTGACGAGTAAGTCTAAAATAACTCTTTTACATATATAAGAACAAAATGTTTTCAGGACCGACCCTGATGATGGCCCTTCACTAGGCCGAAAGCGCTCGGTTAATACTCAATAAAAATTATACACCT